AATTTATTCCCCTTTTGATCATTTTGAACGCTTGATGCATGTGTGGCCAAGAACTGAATGGTCGTCATACCTAGAGAATGTCATATCCACCGTTATGTCTGTGAGGTCTAATGATGTTCTAATACCTTATGCAAGTTCTCTGTGCATTTTGCATGAGGATCTTTATTGCCCTCAACTTACCTTTTGTAAGTCCTTCTGTGCCTTTTGCATAATATCTCTTTAACTTACCTTTTGTAAGTCTTTTTGTGTCTTTTCCATGAGGTATCTCCTCCTTGCCTTTCGCAATGGATTCGACTTACCTTTTGTAAGTATCCTCTCTACCTTTTGTAAAAGGAAATTTCTTCAAACCTTTTTTCTGAAGTCTTTTCTGCCTTTTGTAGAAGGAAATATCTTTCTCCAAACCTTTTGTTCTGGAGTCATTTCTTCCTTTTGCAGAAGGAAATACGATCGTCTTATCCTGAGGGAGTCTCCTCTACCTTTTGTAGATGGAGGTATCATATATTTCTCCAAACCTTTTGTTCTAGAGTCCTTTCTGCCTTTTGTAGAAGGAATATTTCTCATAACCTTTTGTTCTGGAGTCCTCTCTACCTTTTGCAGAAGGAAACATCTACTTTCTTCTAACTTTTTGTTTAGGAGTCCTCCTTGACTTTTGCAAGAGGAAAACCAATATCTCTCGTAACCTTTTGTTTTGGAGTCCTCTCTACCTTTTGTAGAAGGAATATCTCCCAACCTTTTGTTTTGGAGTCCTCTCTAACTTTTGTAGAAGGAATATCTTCCAACATTTTGTGCGTCATCGAAATACTGCAGGGATGTCTCCTTTTCCAATATTGGCAAAGCACTCGCGCTCAGTCCATATTGCACCTCAAACATATCATCATATCCCTCATAACCAACTACCTTTTCCCAATGACATGTGTCTTTTCTAAACCATCAAACTGATTCACTACTTTCATTCCACCCCTTTTACGGCTGAAAAATTTGGGTATTTCTAGTGTTTAATCCCCTTGCACCTCAACTGTAGAAGAACCTATGTCATTTTCACCTTCAGGTCCAAGAAGATTAAATAAGGGCAACTGTCACACCCTAATTTTCACCCTAACCCTAGCCTTGTATATCATAGCATTTACATCATCTATGCATTATATTAGATCATAGTAGGTCATGCTTTGCTTTGGTTCTAAGGCTTGGGATCAAGGCATTGAGTTTCATCAATCAAGGAAGAGAAGCTAACTTTCAAAGGAATGAGCAAGGAAGTATCCTTAACATTATGACTTTCTCAAGATACAAGGTCCACACACACTTCAAAGTGTCTCAACAAGGTCACATGTTCACCTGAAAACTAAGGTTTCAAGGAGTTTGAGGATTGATCGTAGCTCCTATCTTGTGGCTATGAATTAGGGTTAGGGATGACAAACAAACCCGGACTCGCCCGCACCCTCCCCGAAGTTAACAGAGAAAAATTGATTTAATTGGGTGCGGGTGCGGGGGGAACCCGACTCTTAACTACGGGTGCGGGTGCGGGGAGACACTAAGACCCGTTCGCATCCGCCCCAAATAATGCATTTTAGTTTAATTCACTTATTTTACTTATTTTAATATTCATTTATTAATTATATTTTTAATTAAATTATTAATACCTTTATTGCTATTAAAATAATTAAATTAATCAAGTTAATATTCATTTACAAATTAAAATTTTAATTAAATAATTAATTTATTAAAATAATCAATTTTTAAATTTAATTATTAATTTTTATTGCAATTAAAAAGACATTAATTTTTTTGCGGGTGGGGTGGGTGCACCCGTTCTCCACTGGGGGCGGGTCTGGGTAGTAAATTTTTACCCTCGATTGAGTTTGGGGGCGGGTGCGGTGCGGGTATAGTTAAACTAAATAAATAAATAAAAATTGGATATCTGGGAGAACTTATGAAAATAAGATGAAAACGCCTTATGAATAATGTTATAAGTTATTTTCATAAGTTATCTTAAACAAATAATCTCACAAAGCGTATGCTAACAGGTAAGTTAAAATAAGTCAATGTAAACAAACTTTTAGTCTCATTGGTTTTTTAGTTTGTTAGTCTATTTAAAATAGCATGTTTTTATGTAGGCCAACAAGCTCACCAGGCCTTAGAAAATGCCACACTCGGGCCTAAAAATAAGCCTATGACAGACTACAGGTCAGACTTAGGCTTCAGAGTTTTGGCAGGTCAGGCTTAGGTTTGGCAAAGTCTAGCTCGACCCAGCTTATTTCCACGCCTAACAACATGTGTTTTATTATGATTATAAATGGAACATCCAGATAAAAGGTTTTTCATTATTGTAGTTTTGTTTAGTTTCATTGTGTTTGGTTTAGTTTTGTTATGTAAAATTCTTCTATTTGAAAGAACCTGACATATACTATGTCTTTGTGGAATTGGTTATAGTTAGAAGTGACTAGTGAGTTAGATGATAATTAGTTTTTGTTTGGGGTCTATTATTTTCTTTTTTGTAGATAAGACTGTTGTCCAATCCAAGTCCACAGATTCTTCACTAAAGTCAACCTCACTTCCAACGCAATCTTCATCTGCATTATCATCAGCTTCACTATCACCACTTCCCACACCTTTGTTATTCCATACATCTTCAACATCAACACCAACATTAACTCCTTCACATTCATTAACTCCTTTATTAGCATCAACGCCTACATCAATATCAACTTTTCATCATATCCATGAGTTAACTCTGCCTCATCTGTAATATCAGAGTTATCAATAGAGTGTTCTATATATACATCAACCAACTCGATTCCATTAATGTCTTTAATGAATTTCAACACATCAACATCACAATTTAGGGGTCTAAGTCCTTTAGAAAAGCTAAATTTAGGGTTTCAATATCACATACATTTCACATTTGTATATCCCTTTTTTTGAATTAATGACTTTAATTACATATAAGACATGTAATCTACATCCTATTTCCAATTCAGTTATGACACTTCACCATCAACATACCACTTAACAGGGTGTGTACAAGTTCACCCATGTGGTTTTTTCTTAATCTAATACTATGACTCTTAGTTAACTTTATATACAATTACAATACATATATCAGAATAAACAACTAGGGTAAAAGGGACCACATATCAACATAAAAAATTATGGTAAAAGATTTTAAATTTAACATTTAGGGGAAAATGGACCACATGTCATATTTATCAATTAAGGGAAATGTTTAAAGATTTGGGGAAAAGGAAACACATTTCACAACAATGGGACCACAAGTAAGAAAGACTCTAAACCTACTGACTTCGCTCTTTAAAAAGGGAACATATAAAACACATACCTAGGACAAAACTTGACATCTTCTTTGTTTTTCGATGACAATGGAATATTCATTTCCAAACTGCTTGTTCTTGAATGACCATAATAATCAGAGACGAATACCTAAACAAGTGCGAAACAAAACGAAGATTAGTCACTAGAAGAATATCAAACGCAATTCAGAAAGAAGAATACTGGTTGAAAAATATCAACAGCGAAGAAGATGGAAGAATGTCATGATGATTACTTTCGCGTTCGCTTGAGAGTGTCTAGGGAATGAAGCTTCAACAAATACAACAAATGACTTTTTATTTTCTGAATTCTTTAATCACATTGGTGTTACTTATTTAATTAATTAAATTGATTTAAATAATTACTCAAATAATTTCATGTATTTTAATGACGTGACAAAAGTTAAAAAATGACATATCATAGATTCACATGCGAACTGAGCAAAAGAGACTATTTTATCATGGAAGACCACCAAAAAAACAGGGAATATGCTACAAATTTAGGGCTTATATGCTGACCCAATGGGTCTGGCCCAATGGACCTGACCCATTTTAACAGCTCTAGAAGTGAGTTAGATGATAATTAATTTTTGTTTAGATATATTTACTTATTTGTAAGTTGAACAACAAATTTTAATGTAAAAATCAATTTATCTTCAAAAGCTACAAATAAAATCAATTCTACCACTTTAAAATAACAAAACACATCAAAATCATTTCTTAATCAATTGTCCATTTCTAAAATTGCTTTGTCTCTTTCAAAAGTTAAATCAAACATATACTTTATTTGTTACAAGATTATTCAACAACTTCCTCCGAACGATTGATAAAGTGTGTATTAGGAATTTTTCTAATGAATGATAAATATGCATTTTGTATCCGTTTAAATGTTTTAAGGGTTAAATTTTGTAAGTGATCCTATAAATAATTTAAAATTCGATTTGAATTCTTATAAAAAATTTCTTCTAACAATGATTATTTTAAAGTTTCCATCCACATTTTAAAGTTTAAACTGCACACTTTTTCACTTTTTTCTTTTGCGGTTCGGATGACTTTTTACGTCAAAACCGCACTCCAAACACATTATATCTAAAGTGTCTCTTATTCTAGTGAACTTTTATAAAATGCAAATGGCCTGTGCTATTGAAGAGAGTAACATGAGTGTTTAATCTTATTAATTGAAATATTGTGGCGTTTTGATCGACTTCCAATAAACTATCGATTCACTTGTACAACCAACATCACGTCTTCTTCCACCTTTTTTATAACTATAATCAAACCTTTGCTAGGAATCTGAGCACAATCACAAAAATGATTGTGAGTGTCTGACACCAACAATGTTATTTAGAAGTTTGTGTAGTCATTCAGGGAGGCAATGAATCTAAAATCATGCCTCAACATTAAAATACACCATGACAGGAAAGAAATAGTCTTCAAAATGATTTTCAAGCATAACTTCAACACAAATCTAAATAAATTACTGAACAGTGATACAGTATTAATTATGTCATCAGTAAATTTTGGATAGCATCTTTTAATACTTGTAAGTTTCCAAAATAGAGCTTAACTCAAAATTCATAGGATCATAAAGTATAGCATTATATCAAATATAAAGTCATCATTTTTTTTCTTCTACAGAATCTGAATATGGCTCATAAGAATTTCTGGTCATAAGGAAACTTAGCTATGGAGAGTAGTTGGCAAAGAAACTAGACTGATAGTGTGAAGCCATACGTCAAAATCTCCCACCTCAATATCTTCAATCTTTGTCAATTGTTTGGTCTTCACATTGTAACCAAAATGAATGCTTTTGCGGGAAGACATACTTCCTGTTTCAGTTTTATGTAAACCTACTTGGAAGATAATTTGATCGTTGATCCACAAACGAAATGACGCACTTCTAGGTTTAAGATTATGACCAGAAGCAGACATATAATCAAAAGGTCCCATCTCATGATAAAGAGACCAATTTTCTGAATCAAAATCAAGTATATAGATTTGATATGTTCTATGAGAATCTATAGACACAATGCGAGAAAGACGCTCGCCCATATGTAAAAACATCTCAAACGGGACGCTAGAATACATTGTTATAGATCTCTCATACGGGTCCATGGTTATAAAAGGAACAGGATATTCTCCTACAATAGTTTCCTTGTCAATATCCATCAGAATCACTTCGTTATATGTTATCCAGTAAAGATCATTGCCTCCACTATAAAGTGGTCTCGATGAAAAATACAACCGACGGAACATTGGGAATGCTTCTTTTCTAGCTATCTCTTTCCATGAGCTATCAATTCCAATTCTCAGCACATAAAAAACACATGAATAAGCACCTGAAATCTCAAGGATATCTGCATGAAAAAGCTTGAATTTGGCAGTACGAGGAACACGTGTTATAGTACATTGACACGGAAACCCTTGGTTATGCCGAGAAAAGGGAAAAGGAGGAATTCTAAGCCAGCACTTGAGGAAGGGGTTCACAGCAAAAACTTGCCTAGCTGTATTCAAAAGAAGCAATATGCCATCACAAGTACCGATTACATGTCCCATTTTTTTCGGTGTTCCCAAATCAATCCTTTCAAATTGGCCATTCACATCATCTTTAAACTCCAAGAAATAAGAACTACTTTTTGACTTGCGATTTTCAACGTAAAGACCAGGTTTAAAACGTATATCGAAGCGTTGACAAGCTTCAGCAAAACGGGGGCCGGCAATAATAGCAGCCCAAGGTTTGCAAACATACCTTACAGAGTTAATCAGATAGGTAAGAGGAACCAAAGTAAAAATCTGAATCTTCAAGTCTTCAGGGAGAAGCAGCTCAAGATTTTCATTCTTGTTGGCATCATCATCTGACTTAGAGTCTGAATCAAAACAACTACTTCTTTCCATTTTTAACGAATTAATCTTGTCCTGCTTCAATCACTGCATATAATATAAGTCATTAATCTTTTAATCAAATCTTGTTACAGTATATTTGGTCTATAAATTACTATAAAACTACATCATCTAAATCCAAAAAGGATAAAAAAGAAGCATGCAGTTGGAAATCTTTTATGGGTCTAAAAAAAGAAGGTTATGAAACTAAAATCAAAATTAGAGATAATTGTAGACAGTAAAAAGGAAATTGAAATAAGGTTTCAGATATATTGGATAAAAATTGAGAATGTTGTATATATGAGTGAGTGAGTGAGTGGGTACCTAAATGAGAAAAAATATAAGCTCTTCCTCCGTTCTTCGCTGCTCCCGTCGCTATCTCTCTCTCTCTCTCTCTCTCTCTCTGCTGCCGTCGCTATCTCTCTCACGCTTTCTTTTTGTTTTGGTTTTTAATAATTTCATTTCACTCTTATTTATTTATGTGTAAATTTGTTTGCGGTTGGGCTCAACTCGAGCCCATCTTTTCAAATTAATTATTATATTGTTATAACTTTTTTTAAAATTTCCAAGCATCTTTTTCTATAACATAATTAGTTACAAGGGCATGAATTCAAAAGTAAAAGTTTTATATATGGTCAAACTTTGATAATTCATCAAAAAGAAGATAAAAAAAGAAAGAAAGATTGCAGTGGAATCAAATTACAGTACAAAATATCACAAATTTTATACCATTGGGAAATCTATATAACATGATCTAATCCTCATTCCAAGATGATACTTGTAAAGTTTCCAGAACAGAGCTTGAACTCAAAAATAACACCCCGCAAATAGGTTAAAGCTCTTTATGTACTACACTTAATTAAGCACAACAAAAGGGATGGAATACAAAGAAAAAATGGTAGAGAAAATTGAAGATCAGAAAGCATAATCCCATTTATAAGCATCACATCAACAACAACAATAATAAACGTCAAACTAAATAACCAAACACGTATCAAGTGTTTCCAAATCAAATTCAAAACATAAAGACTTGTTTTTTTTCAGCTAAGAGAAATATAAACAATACTACTACATATACTATACCAGGAAACATAGTTATGCCAGAGTACTTGGCAAAGAAACTAGACTGTTAGTGTGAAGCCATACTTCAAAATCGCCCACATCAATGTCCTCGATCTTTGTCAAATGTTTGGTCTCCACATTGTAACTGAAATGTATGTATGTAATGCGTGGAATTACATTTTCTATTTGATTTTGACTTAGAGCTGCTCGAAAGATGATTTGATTATTGATCCAAAAACGAAATGCCACATTGGCAGTATTAAGATTATGACCACAAGCAGCCATGAAATCAAAAGGTCCCATGTCACCATAAAGAGACCATTTCCTAGAATCAAAATCCAAAATGTAGATTTGATATGTCATATAAGAATAATTATACGCAGTGCAAGAAAGACGACCTCCCATCCATAAAAGTATCGCAAGTGGACTATAATACAAGATCATTTCAAGAGGAAGTGGATATTCTCGTACAATAATTTCTCTGTCAACATCCATCAGAATCACTTCCTTGCTTGTTATCCAGTAAAGATCATTGCCTCCACTATAAAGTGGTTTCCCCGAAAAACTACAATGAAGGGGAGCTTGTTTTCTAGCTATCTCTTTCCATGAGTTATCTATTCCAATCCTTAGCACATAGAAAACATACCAAGAAACACCCAAAACCACAAGGACATTTGCATGGAAAAGCTTGAATTTGGCAGTGCGAGGAACACGTGTTATAGTACATTGACAGGCAACTACTATATGATGTTGTGAAATGGAAAAACGGGGAATTCTAAGCCAACACTTGAGGATGGGGTTCACAACGACAATATGTCTAGCCATATTCGAAAGCAGCAATATGCCATCACAAGTACCGATTAAATATCCCATTTTTTGAGGCGTTCCCAAATCAGTCCTTTCAAATGGGCCATTCTCATCATCTTTAAATTCCAAGAAATAAGAACTACTGTGTGAGTTGCGATTTTCAACGTAAAGACCAAGTTTAGAACGTACATGGAAGCGTTCACACGCTTCAGCAAAACGGGAGCTGGCAATAGCAGCAGCCCAATGTTTGCAAACATACCTTGCAGAGTTAAATAGATAGTGAGGAGGAACCAAAGTAAAAATATGAAACATCAAGTCTTCCGGAAGAAGCAGCTTTGAAATCACTTCACAACTGTTTGAGTTTTGTTTCATATTCTTGTTGTCGTGATCATGTCCACCCATTATTAATCTACTTCAATCACTGCATATATTAAGCCAATTGGTTGTGAAATTTATAGGGTCTGAAAAATGGGTTGTGAAACTAAAGAAGAAGAAGAAACAAAACCTCCTTTGTAATTCTAAGGTTCTGGAAAAAAGGACAATTGTAATTTTAAGGGTCTGAAAAAAAAAGAAACTAAAATCAAAACTAAAGATAACTATAAAAAGTATAAAAGGGATTATAAAAGAATAAGAGTGACCGATATTGAGAATCTTGTATATATGAAATGAGAGAGAATGAGTGAGTGGATGGGTGGATACCTAAAAAAGAAGAAATAGAACCTCCTCTTCCGCTCCTTGCCTCCTCCTCTCTATCTCTCACGCGATTTCTTTTTGTTTCGGTTCTCAATAATTCCATTTTGTTATATTCTATTCTATTTTACTGGATATCTAAAAATGAGTTTTTACCATTTTTTTTAAAAGTCTAATACTTTTTTAAAAATAATTGCATTTTTATTGAAGTTTCTGATAATCCGGTGCAAACATATTCACAAAAAATCTGTGAATTCTTGAAATTTTTATCAAATTTTTTTCAAATCCGATTCATACATACTAGATTTTCCAAAAAGTTAGGTATTTTTAGAGATTTTCCAAAAAGTTAGGTATTTTTAGAGAATCATATATTGCATACCGTTTTTTTTCAAAAAAAAATCAGGAAACACGGACAATTTTGGGATTGTTCTTTTGAAAAATGTGATATATCTTATTTTTAGTATATTGGTGAAGAATCTGATAGTTTAAAATGTTGTATTTGCACGGTCTAAATCTTGATGGTTTCCATATAGATTTTAAAGAGTTTTTCATCAATGATGTTTTATGTTTTACTTTCATATTTTATTTCAATATTTAATAGGTTTTTGATATTTCTGACATTGATAATTTATTCTGTATATGTTGTAAATTACAAATATTTTTCTCTTAAGCTCACGTGTTAGCATGGACACAATCCATCAGTAAACAACATGGTGTTATTGTTGTTACTATTCATTGTGATACTGTAAATGCGAATAAAGAGACAAAGATAAATTGATTATGGGGTGTGAGAGAGGAAAAAATTGCAAAAGGAAGAAATCCTCTGAAGGAAGTTATAATATGAAAGTTAAATGTTCATGTATGCTAAGATCTTTGCCAAGTTGTAGCGGTTGGAAGATTAGGATTAGGTGTGGGTTTCACAATTATAAACTAGCCAGTGACTTAGATGGACATGAAATCTTAGGCTGTTTAAGAGATTATAATTTTTTTTTTAATGACATGACAAAATACAAATATGGCTTTAAGATACATAATTGTTGCTTTGAAAGATAAAGATCCAGAAAAATCTCACTAGCGTTACCTATGTGTACAAGGAAAAATCTGCATACAAGATGAGCAAGAAAGGTTTATTGACTGAAATACAACATTTGTTTGATCTAACAACATTTGTTTGAAATACAACATTTGTTTGGACGCATCCTGATTCAGTGAACTTGTTGAACATGTTTTATTTTGTGTTGACTTTTTATTGTACATACAAAATAAACAAGTACTGCATTCCCCAATAATGTAACTTTTCATTTATTTGATTATGGGTTGGAAGTTGTTGGTTATTTATTGTACATACAAAACAAACTGGTACCGATTGCCACTACTTGAGATTGTTGGTCATATATCAACGAAATTGAAGTTTTCAGTTGGATTTGCCTATATGGAACATGAAAGGAAGAAAAATTTCACATGAGCACTGGAGAAACTAAAAGTGTTATTCAGGTTTGAAAATGTTATGACGGGCCGAGAACTGGCATTGATGAATGTCATGGAAGTTGTGTTCCCAGACTCAACTCATATGTTATGTCTATTCGAAATTTCAAAAAAGTTAGTATGAAGCGTAATGAGTATGTCGAATCTCATAGGCAAGATCATGTTATGGATCTATGGAACAACATCATATATTCGAATAGGGAGTCTAAGTTTGTGGAACACTTGAACCATTTTGAGATAGTATGTGTTGATATTCCTTAATTTGTTCAGTATGTGCACGAAACATGGTTGATACCATATAAAGAAAGGTTTGTTGTTGCATGGACTAATAGAGTCACTCATTTAGGAAACACGGTAGCAAACATGTACATGATGTGACTTTGAATATATTAAATTAATATTCATCAAATAATGACATCCTTTTCTATTAATGTTTTTTTAAGGTTAAGTTTGTTCATTATAGAGTAAAATACATGTTGACTACCAGCCGAGGAGATTTATGCAGAAGTTAGGATTTTGTGAACACCATGTTGAAGTTGCAACTAAGTTCAATGAGATTACCATTTCAAAAAAGTATTTCCAACATTGAGCATTGATATAACAATCCATTTTACTCCATATTGCACGACTTCGCTTCAAGACAATGTATACAACATATTGGAAAGGTGATGGAAATGGTAAAATTTGTCGGTTCTAGAAAATATGCATGTCGTTGCTTTATTATAACAACACATGGGTTACCTTGTGTGTGTTAACTTTCTAATCTTCAAATACAAGGTCATGTTCTGTTAGAATTGATTCGTGTGTTCTGGAAGAAATTATATATCGAAGAGTACGAGGTCACTAAAGAAGATGGTGAGACACATTTGTATTTAGAAGAAGAATGTGAAGAGTTGAAGATGTATTTCAGTACATGTAAATTGGATATTGTTGGCCAGAGGGTGATGCAAACAAAAAGTTTGGGAACTAACACATTCATCCACAATTTTCATGTGTCCACCACTGATGAAGTACAAGCCAGGGAGGAGAATTAAGAAGAGTAAAAAGGGTCAAGAGAGTGACGTGTATAGTGATCCTTCATAATGGGAGTATGCTGAGGGCTTGCAGGGAAGTTGGAATACGAAGAGATAATGTACAAAATCAACTACAAGTCAACCGTCTAGCCAATCATCAAAACTTATTTACTTTTCTCAATTTCCTATTTTCTTACATAAGTACATTGATGAAATTGTTGATGTGGGTCAAGATGAAAATTGTGATTTTCGTGCTATTACAAGTTTATGTGGATGAGGCGAAGAGTCCTGGCCTTTGGTTGGGCTGCAGTTAGATGCATAAGTTTATGGGTTAAATATGTTTTTGGCCCCTATAAAATTATCAAATTTTGTTTTTGGTCCCTATTAAAAAAAATAGCGTTGTTTAGTCCTTGCAAAATAATTATGCACGTAGTTTTAGTGTCAACTGTTAAACCAATGTGTATTTTTAAATGATTATTTTGCAGATATGTTTAGAACGTTATAAAAAGTTTCTCGAAAAAAAAAAGAACTTAAAATTTGATTTATAAGTCGAAATTTTCATTACTTTTACCATTATCTTTTGAAATATAAAAAACTCATATTTAATTCTTCTCATTTTTAAAAATTATATAATTTGGTAAAGAAACATTTTATAGTAATCTGAACACGTATGAAAAAAATATTTAAAAACTTAAAAGTTTAGGGGTAATTAAATAGTTTTCAAAATTTTAGAAAATAACAAGGACTAAAACTGCATGCATAAAATTTTTGTAGGGACCAAAATATGTTCTTTTTTTTATAGGGACTAAAAATGAAATGTGAGATATTTATAAGGACCAAAAACATATTTAATCCTAAGTTTATCAACACCATCAAGTATATTCCAATGTGTTATATGACATGATCTATAAATTTAGAGTTCGTTACGAGCAACTAGCTTGGGTTTGCAAGGTCGTAAGAAGTGGATGATGATTTTTAATATGAGTTACCCTATTGCTTTTAAATATAGTGTTATATTGGTCTCATTGTCCAGGAACCTTAACATCACTTTCTTCTCGTTAGTGTTATCTCCATTCATAATTGCAATTAGACATAAGCTTATTGCAATGGATTTAGTTAACAAAAACCATTGAATTCAGGTGATGTTGAAACCATATTGTCTATTGCCTACCGTCACTGACCGATGGAAACAAAATTGTATTGAAGGTACAAGAGCATGAGAAACAGCATATGCGGGACGTATAAGACACTTGGAAGAAGAAGTTAGGTAGTCAACATAATTTATTTTGTTATGATATTGTAGTATATTTTGCATTATATGTATATATTTTATCGGGATAATTGTCTAACTGTTTTGTTAAAAATGTCAAAAACTTAAGAATTTTTTCAAACTAACCACAGTCTACCAGATTTTTCAAATATTCAAAAAATTTGGTATGTACAAGATTTTTCTAAATATCTGGTACACATTATAGGTTAGTGGTTTTTTTCAAAACAACTGGTATACATGCACCGAATATTTGAAAAAATGGTATTTCTTTATACAATTATCAGAAAACAATGTTTATTTACTAGAAATTTTAGAAAATTTCGATATTTCTTTGAATAATATCAAAAAATCATATTTTTTTACAATATTTGATATTTCTTCATATAAACACAAACAATCCCGTACAATGTAGAAAAATCCAGCACTTGAAGGTACTTTTTGAAAAAACATGATTATTATTCTAGAGCATAATGGTAAAAACATTGCTCATGTAGGTAGGGATGGCAAAGGTGGCGCTCACCCCATTTAGGCCCACCCCATTTAATCTCGTCCAAAAGCGAAATGGGGCGGGGAAAGCCAAATTAGGCGTCCGGGCTCAAAAGTCGAGCCAACCCCGTTTACTAACGAGTTGGCGGGGAGACCCGCCATTTTTTTTACAATTTGATTTACTACATAATTTACAAAATAATTAATCATTACCAAAGAGACCGACAAATTTTAGCAATGCATAGTAAAACTTTAACAAAATTTAATGTAAATGTCATATTCTTTAACACAAACAAAACACATAACTGTAATACCAAAAACTTAAAACAAACACACTAAAATCCCAAAATAATCTTTTTGGTTAAAAAACCAACAAGCACAACCTAGTTAAGGACATCTAGGACACAAATCAAGAAAACAAACTAGCACAAGCTAAACAAAGACAACTAAGTAGATTT